TTACAAGCAAGCGTCACCACACCCGGCTAATTTTTGTATTTTTAGTAGAGACAGGGTTTTGCCATGTTGGCCAGACTGGTCTCGAACTCCTGACCTCAGGTGATCCGCCCACCTCAGCCTCCCCAAGTGCTTGGATTACAGGTGTGAGCCACCACACCCAGCCTGACTTGCATTTTAACAGGGTCACTCTGCCTGCTGTGTGGAGAACAGTCCACAGGGAGACAGGTGGAAATGAGGAGACCAGTTAGGAGGTTATTGTAACAATTTGGGGTAGTGGTGATGGTGGCTTAAACCAAGATGGGGTCAGTGGGAAATGGTGCTAAAAATCCTGCCAATTCTGGGTATTTTTAGAAGGCACAGCCGACAGCCTTCACCAGTAGCCCACTAAGTTATTAAGCATTACTAAAGTGTGATAGTCGTGATGCAAAATTAGAATATATCTAGAATGTACCAAAGACTTTAGTTTGGTATTATAAGAAGTCTGGCTACTTCATGTTGCAAATTTTATATCACTCATCACTCCCTGCAGAGTTAAAATTCCGCTGAGAAGTAGGAATCAGTGAGGTGCATGTCTATGTGGGTTTTTGGCACACCTAAGCGAACCTTGGTCAAAAGTATATAAGAGCTACTGATAGGCTGGGCCGCTGGGTGTGGTGGCTCCTGCCTGTAATCCCAGCACTTTGGAAGGGAAGGATCTCTTGAGGTCAGGAGTTCGAGACCAGCCTGAGCAACATAGGGAGATTTCATCTTTACACAAAATTTAAAAATTGGCCAGGCATGGTTGTGCATTCCTATAGTCCCAGCTACTCAGGAGGCTGAGGTGGGAGGATCACTTGAGGCTGGGAGTTGGAGGCTGCAGTGAGCTGTGACCACACCACTGCACTCCAGCATGGGCAATGGTGCAAGACTATGTCTCAAAAAAAAAAAAAAAAAGCCTGGGCGCAGTGGCTCATACCTGTAAACTCAACATTTTGGGAGGCTGAGGCAGGTGGATCGCCTGAGGTCAGGAGTTCAAGACCAGCCTGGCAAACACGGTGAAAGCCCATCTCTACTAAAAATTCAAAATTAGCTCAGCATGGTGGCACATGCCTGTAATCCCAGCTACTAGGGAAGCTGAGGCAGGAGAATCGCGTGAACCTGGGAGCCGGTGGTTCCAGTGAGCCGAGATCACATCATTGCACTCCAGCCTGGGCAAAGCCTGCTGGGTTGGGCTGGGTAACCTCTGAACACCAGTCTCGTGGCTTCAAGTCACACCTCCTAAGTGAAGCTCTGAACTTTCTCCAAGGACCGTCAGGGCTCGCCCGTGGGCAGAGGATGCCGACACTCACTGCTCTTGCTGGGTTTTATTGCAGATAGACTACCACATGAACATGATGTACATCCACGTGTTCACAGCCTATTTTGGGCTGACTGTGGCCTGGTGCCTGCCAAAGCCTGTACCCAAGGGAACAGAGGATAAATATCAGACAGCAACGAGCCCCAGTTTGTTTGCCATGCTGGGTAAGGACAAGGTGGGGTGAGTGGTCTAATACTTGGGCTGAGCAGAATGGCTCAGAAAAGGCTCTGGCTGAAAAATCTCCCTCCTTTACCAACTTCCCCTTGGTGTCTGAAGCCCTTCCGTCATGATTCATTTCTTTGAGTAGTGTTTGCTAAATTCATACCTTTGAATCAAGCATTTGCTTTTAGGGACCTCTCTTCATTAATATCCACTAGAAAGGAGACACTCATTATGTGTGAGTTTAAATAAGTTTATCAAAATCCTTTGTTCTCAACTGAAAGGAGGGAATTGGACAAGTGAAGAAAGTAGGGCCCAGGGGTGAAGGAACAAGGGTGGGAATAGTAATAATGTTGTACTTTGAAAATCTGTGAAAATGATGAACTTAGACTGCTGGGAGAGGCTTATAGAAAATCGGGCAGTGAGCTTGATAATAGGCAAAGGACTATCAGGCCACGGGGTCAAATTAAAGCAGCACATTCATTAAAATAATAGTAATAATAAGCATTTGGGCCAGGTGCGGTGGCTCAAGCCTGTAATCCCAGCACTTTGGGAGGCAGAGGCGGGTGAATCGCCTGAGGTCAGGAGTTTGAGACCAGCCTGTCTAACAGGGCGAAACCCCGTCTCTACTAAAAATACAAACAAATTTGCTGGGCGTGGTGGCACACGCCTGTAATAGCAGCTACCTGGGAGGCTGAGGCAGGAGAATCTCTTGAATCCAGGCGGCGGAGGTTGCACTGAGCCAAGATCGCGCCACTGCACTCCAGCCTGGGTGACAGAGCAAGACTCCATCTCAATTAAAAAGAAAAAATAAATAAAAATAAGCATTTGACCATCACAGACCAGGTTCAGGAAGCCTGGGGTATGCAGACTTCAACCTTCTTGGCCTTTGTTTCCTTATCTATAAAATATGGTTAACTGGTATCAGCTTGAGAGCTTGGAAGGAAGACGTGACTTGCCCATCTAGCTCTAAGTGACAAGCCTGAGACTCTCCAGCCCTAGGATTCTCATCCAAAAGCTCTCAAGGCTCAGACCTTTGGAGCAGGAGTGTGGTTCTCACCAACCACCCTCTCTGGCCCCCAGGCACCCTCTTCTTGTGGATGTTCTGGCCAAGTTTCAACTCTGCTCTGCTGATATATCCAATCGAAAGGAAGAATGCTGTGTTCAACACCTACTATGCTCTAGCAGTCAGCGCGGTTACAGCCATCTCAGTGTCATCCTTGGCTCACCCCCGAGGGAAGATCAACATGGTGAGGAGGGCGCTGCCCTTGGGCGGCACTTGGGTCTAACAGGACTAACGTATTTATGCCCCTTCCCACCCCAGGGCCAGCGTGGGTTGGGAGAGGGCATGCCAGGTGGTGGAGCCATGTCTGCCTCTACAGTGGAGCTCTAGGAAGAACGCTGGGTGGTCACAGTGGGCCTGGGACTCAGGAGACTGTCCAGTGATCAAAGGCTTTCTGGGGGGAGTGGTTAAATCCATCCATGCTAACATGAAACACACCTGAGTTTGAACCTCATTTCTGCCAGTTGCTAAAGCCAGTCACCGTGAGCGAGAGTCAGCAGCAACAGACTAGACTAGAAATCGCCAGCCTCTCTCTTCCCCACAACAAATTTCAAGAATGGAACCATCAGAATCAGAAGTAGAGAAGTATATGACACTAGCCATGTGGCCCTGGTCAAGCCACTTCAACCTTTTGAGTCTCAATGGCTTCATCTGTAAAGTGGGAATTAAGAAATGGTGCATGTAAAGTGCTTAACGGGGAGTAAGTACTAGGCAAACATTAGCTGCTGCTGTTAATGCAGACAGGAAATGGTGTGTGTGAGTCTTGTGGGCAAAGATGGGTGAGAGGGGAGATAAAACAGATTCTTGTGATGATGGGGGCAGGGGGTCCAGCCGGTGGTATTGGAGGGAAGTCTGGACAGACCAGTGGTGGGGCTGGGGTGGGAGGGGCTGGAGTGGAAAGAATGTGGCCACAGATGACAGCTTCACAGCAGAATTCAGTGCTAAGAGGAAGTGAGTGGCCATGAGTTCCATGGTGACAGCAAGTCTGACATCCAGCAAGGCAGGAGTGGGTGTCAGCTCAGGGAAGCCCAGAGGTTAATCCTAGGTGAGAGCTAAGGGTGTTAGATGAGAGCAAGGCAAGGCTCCGGTTCTGGAGCAGTGAAGGACATAGCAGAGCTATGACCCAGGAACAAGGCCCAGCTTATTGGAACTGGGCCCAGTCATACAGGGTGGCACAGGTACCACGTAGCCAATAATAATAATAAAAACAATAACAATGATTTGTGTCTACTGGGCATTTATTCATGTTCTATGCCAGACACTGGGCTAAGAGCTTTATATGTGGAAACTCATTTAATCCTTACAATAACCTTATGAAGAAGGTACATCCAAAACCCCATTCTTCTAGGCCAGGTGCAGTGGCTCACACCTGTAATCCCAATATTTTGGGAGGCTGAGGCAGGAGGATTGGTTGAGGCCAGGAGTTCAAGACCAGCCCAGGCAACATAGCGAGACCCTGTCTCTAAAAAATAAAACAAAAACCCATTCTTCCCACTGCCCAGGGACACATCACTAATAAGTGCAATGGGTGCCAGGATGCTGAGCACCTGGACTTCCCAGCTCATTCCCTAAATGCTGCACAATCAAGGTAACTGTGCCCTGGGCCTAAGAGGCAGTAGTGCGCTGGCCCATCATGTCCATTGATGAAGGACATGTAGTTCCAACACAGGGGAGAGGTGGTTTCAGGATCAGCAAAGCAGGGAGGATGTTACAGGGTTGCCTTGTTCCCAGCGTGCTGGTCACTTGTAGCAAGATGGTGTTCTCTCTCTACCTTGCTTTCTTTACCCACAAGCTATTTCTTTGCAGACTTATATGCACAATGCAGCGTTGGCAGGAGGCGTGGCTGTGAGTGCCTCATGTCACGTGATCCATTCTCCTTGGATTGCCATGGTGCTGGGTCTTCTGGCTGGGCTGATCTCCATCGGGGGAGCCAAGTGCCTGCCGGTAAGAGACTAGACAACTAACCCCCTCTGCTTTGGCTGAAGGCCAGCAGGGTGCTGGGACCTGATGGGCCACTGTGCAGTGCACAGCTGCATTAGGCAGGTGTTGGTGCATTCTCATGTTGGCTTCAACACCTAGTGAGGGATCCACCCTGGCTCGGTGGTGCATTTGTTAGGATGCTGGGGAGCAGGTGACAGAACCCATGTGAGCTTGCTTGGGCATTGGGGAGAATTTGTTATAAGGCTACTGGGGTGTCACAGAACTCAAGGACAGGGACTGGAGTGTTGTGGGGAGCCCAGAAGCCCCTGTTTTACTTCCTTCTTTGCTTTTCCTGAATATCTGCTTTATTCTTACTCTATGGACCTGCTTCCTCCTCTTCCACCCCACATGGTGGGATGTAGTTTTTGCTTCAAGAAAGCAGCCTGGTGGAATCTCTTGGCCCCAATCCCAAATTCTCTGGAGAAGGGGCTCTTTGGTTTAACTTGGATAATGTTGTCTTCAGCTGGGGGTGGGCACATCGTGCATACATGGCTGCTGCTGGGGAACCATGTAAATGATGTGAGAGGAGCAGCACCCAGAAGAGGGTGTTGGGCGGATGTCCAGGTCGTGTCCACTTCTGATTGTTTAATTCTTCTTCTAAGTGGATGGATCTTTCTTCAATACTCAGCAAATCCTGATCATTCCAGAATAATTCATTATAGCCAATTGGTTATAATGTGCTTCTCTAAGGTTATAATGTGTGTCCCTAAATATTTAGGGACAACAAATCTTCATGGGTTTGAAGACTTGATGGTGGGAAAAGGAGTATATTTTTGAAGGCTGGATTTTGATGAACAGTGATTATTCAGGGAGTCCATTTCAACCTGAAATTAGGAAAAACTGGCCGGGCGCAGTGGCTCACGCCTGTAATCCCAGCACTTTGGGAGGCCGAGACGGGCAGATCGCCTGAGGTTAGGAGTTCAAGACCAGCCTGGTCAACATGGCGAAACCCATCTCGACTAAAAGTACAAAAATTAGCCAGGCATGGTGGCGGGCAAATGTCATCTTAGCTACTTGGGAGGCTGAGATGTGAGAATCACTTGAACCTGGGAGACAGAGGTTGCAGTGAGCCGACATTGTGCCACTGCACTCCAGCCTGGACGACAGAGCAAGACTCTGTCTCAAAAAAAAAAAAGTGTTTTGTATACACATTGGAATATTATTTAGCCATAAAGAGAATGAAATCCTGTCATTTGCAGCAAATGGATGGAACTGGAGGCCATTAAAAAATAAAATAAAATAAATAAGGAAAAACTGATCAATAGTTTGATTTGACCAAAACCAGGGCAAATCTGATTTTCATCTTTGCAAGGGGAGCAAATTTCTTTTATCTCCTCTCACTTTGAAACCCTGAAATGAAAGGAGGAAAGGCAGAAAAAAGAACACATAGCAAGTTATCATCAGGCTCAGTGCCCATCACATTCCCTGAGCCTGCTTCCTTGACTTCATCACTGGCAGGACTATTCAAAGATGATTCACTCATTCATCCATATATTCATTCATTCATTCATCATTCCTTCATTCAACACATACGTTTTAACATTTATCCTGCTTTTCAAGCTATAGTTTAGTGAGGGAAATGGATAAACACAATACAGTGTGAGAACAGCTACAGGGCACATCTAAGCTAGCCCGGGATGGGTCCGGAAATGCTTCCCGGAGCAGAGGAAACAGTTGACAGCCAAGTGTTGACAGATAAGTAGTATTAGCCAGGGAGAGACATGGGGAATGTGTTCCAGGCAGAAGGAACAATGTGTATTAAAGGTTATTGGTAAGAAGAGTGTGTGGCCCAACCAGGAAACAGACATTCTAAAGGCATAGGGTCCACCCAGGAGCATGGTGGACCCAGATCCCTGAAAGATGGGAGGTGCTCAGGCACACTTCCTGGGCTAGTTGAGGAGTCTGGATTTTTATTCTTTTTTTTTTTTTTTTGAGATGGAGTCTAGTTCTGTCACCCAGGCAGAAGTGGCACAATCTTGGCTCACTGAAGCCTCCACCTCCTGGGTTCAAGTGATTCTCCTACCTCAGCCTCCTGAGTAGCTGGGATTACAGGTGCCCAACACCACGCCTGGCTAATTTTCGTGTGTGTATGTGTGTGTGTGTGTGTTTGCTGCTGCTGTTGTTTTTTGAGATGGTGTCTTGCTCTGTTGCCCAGGCTGAAGTGCAGTGGTGCGATCTTGGCTTACTGCAAGCTCTGCCTCCTGGGTTCACGCCATTCTCCTGCCTCAGCCTCCAGAGTAGCTGGGACTACAGGCGTCCACCACCATGCCCAGCTAATTTTTTGTGTTTTAGTAGAGACGGGGTTTTGCCATGTTGGACATGCTGGTCTTGAACTCCCAACTTCAGGTGATCCGCCCACTTCGGCCTCCCAAAGTGGTGGGATTACAGGCTTGAGCCACCACGCCCGACCTGGATTTTTATTCTGAAGACTAATGGGGATTCTAAGGAAGGAACCAGCCTGATTGAATTTGCATTTGTGCCCACATCTGCTGGCTCACGGCTGTGTGGGAGGCTGAGTGATGGGGAGGAAGGATTACTGAATGGGGATCTGGAGGTGTGGCCTCATGCTTTGTTTCTAACCAGCTGTGTTGTCTTTGGGATGGTGCTTAAATTTGGGCTAGACCAGTGGGTCTCGGTCACCCCCCAGGGGACATCTGACAATGTCTCGAGGCATTCTTGGTTGACATAGTGGGGTGGGGGCTGCTACTGGCAGCTAGTGGGCAGAGACCAGGGATGCTGCTTAACATCCCACAGTGCACAGGGCAGCCCCCATCACAAGGAACTATCAGCTGAAACTGTGCATAGTGCCTACACTGGACCCTTGCTACTCAAAGTGTGGCCCGTGGACCAGCAGCATTGGCATCACCTGGGACCTTGTTAGAAATGCTCTTAGACCCCACCCCACATCCACTAAAGCCCACTGTTCATTTCAACAAACTCCCCGATGATGTGAGTGCACATTCAATCTGAGAAGGGCTTCTTTGAGGTGAGCCTTAGTGCCCATCCCCCTTTGGTGGCCCCAGATGCCAAGGGTGTGTGAAAGGGGTGGGTAGGGAATATGGGTCTCACCTGCCAGTCTGCTTATATTAACACTTGTCCACAGGTGTGTTTTAACCGAGTGCTGGGGATTCACGAGAGCCACAGTGTGCACTCCACCTTCGGCTTGCCGGGTCTGCTTGGAGAGATCACCTACATTGTGCTGATGGCGCTTCGTGTCGTCTGGGCCAGCAGTAACATGTGGGTCACCGGGCTTACCCGCCATCCCCGTAACACTCCCCTCCAACTCAGGAAGAAATGTGCGCAGAGTCCTTAGCTGGGGTGTGTGCATTCAGGGCCAGGTGCTCAGTTGGCTTCAGTAAATATGTATTGGCTGATTTATTCAGAAATTCTGCCCAGCCCGTACCTTGGATGGATTTATCACCTCTCCAGGCCACCTCTTCTTTCCAAATAGGGCAGCCTAGGTGTAGGACAAAGGCGTGAAATCTGAGACCCCACAAAGACAGAGCAGGTCAAATAGGCCCAAGCCAATTAAGACTGTGGTTCAGGTCATGATGCAGAGCTTTGCTGTGGATCTGCTCCCACTGCGTACTAGCTGGGCATGCGGCTTAACCTTTCTCGGCCTCAGTCACCCCATTGTAAATGGAGATAATGATACCATCTCCCCTCATAGGGCTGTTGGGATGCTACTGGATTTAATAAGCAAATGCAGGAACATGCTAAGCACAGCCCGTCCCTGAGGCCCAGAGAGGGGTGGACCTTGGCTGAGGTCTCACTGTGAGGTGGGAATGTGGGCCTCCAGACCAGAGGGAGGTGCTGTGGCCCTTAGACAGTGGACAGCAATGGTCAGTTTGACACACCAGAGCCCTGGCCATTACCTCCTGGATGTTGTGTGAATATTTTCTGGACATGGCTTATATAAAATGAAAAAGTGAATTGGGTACAATATAGGGATGGATTTTTAGAGATGAACTGATAGCATGATGATAATCATATTCACTGATAACATTTACTACTGTTATTGACTGCTTTATAAGTGTTAGGCATTAGGCTAAAAACCATTATATGCGTTATCTCCTTGAATTCTCACAACCGCCTACTGAGGTATTCTCAGACTCTAAGAAATGATATTTAGGAGAAGTTATCTGCCCAAGATCACTCGGTTGGAATCTGGCTGTAAAAATGGCTGAAGCAGGTGATGAGGAGCTGATGTGTTTGGAGGTGTCTCAGAGAAATCATGGAGGTGCTGGGGTTCCTTCTGGTTCTTGGATGCCTTATACAGAGACAACCGTAGCCCCAAATTATAGGGATCACATAACAGTGGGTGAGACATCCTTGCTTGGGGTGAGGAGGGGATGACCTGTGTGAAGCAAGGCGCCTCTGTCATGGGTTCCAGTGATGTGTCTGCCACTGTCTTAATAACTGTGCAATTCTAAGCAGAATCTTTCCTCCCTCTGGGCCTGAGAGTTCCCCTCTGTAAGATGAGGACTTGACCTAGCAAGGTCCCACTCGGATGCCTGTAGAGAACAGGCAGGGGAGGTTAGAAAAAAAAAGCCTGTGAAGGAAGGGAGCTCTTCAGCTCGCACCCACTATCACAGTGCAGGGACCCAGGCTCAGCGTTGCCAGATTCAATGACTTCTCAAGAGAAGCTTGAAATCTAGAGTTTTGCATGTGCTCTCCCAAGTACTGGCGGAAAATTCAAGATTGTTAGTAAGACTGTGTGGCTAAATTCTCCTTATGGGCTGTCTAGATCCCCAATTCTGTGATTCTGTGGTTCTCTGGAAGCATTGGTTCTCCACAGCGCCTGCGTCACCTGGAAGCTTGTTAGAAATGCAAGCCCTACCTGTGGCCCCACCTCAGACTTACCCAATCAGAAATCTGGGGGTGGGACCTAGCAGTTCATGGTTTAACAAGCCTCCCAGGTGTTCTCTTGCAAGCTCAAGTTTTAGAACCACTGACCTATAGCCAAAAAAGAAAAAACCAATCAGTGGTTTGCTGGTAAAGGATTAACTTAACAACTGGCTCTCCAAGAAGATAAAGCCTTGATTGGTAACACTTGCAATTTCTATGGTACAAACGCTTCCCACATGACTGAGTTCAAGCTGTCAAGGAGACATCACTGCACGCGGACTTGGGAAGAGATGAGAACAATCAGCCCACTGAGCCTGTGGGAACTGGCTCCAGCACATCTCTGCAAGTCAACTCTCATCAGGGTGAATGAGTTGAGGACCAAGAAGCCGTTATCCTCTTGCCTTTGCAGGACCCAGGCAAAGGGAAGGGCATAGTGTCAGTGATGATCTCTCATCCAGAGGCCTTTGGTCTGCTGAGAGTAAAAGGTGTGGGCTTCACCAGTCGTGAAGCCAGCCTTGCAGCCTTAGTCATGGTACTCAAACTCTCTAAATCTCAGTTTTCTGTCTGTAAAATGAGAAAATAAGACCTGTGTCACAGGGTTGCTGTGCAGATTTAGCAACAGAACATAGCCCCTTTCTCTATGATGAGTGATGCTGCATCAGTATGAGGACATCTCTATGTAATGGAAAGATGGAGAGAGGATTAAGGGCAAAGTCAGAACACTTAATAGGAACTGTGGATTAGCTACTTGGTGGCATTGGGCAAGTCAGTTGACTTTGTATTAATTCCACAAACAATATTTCCCAATTTCCTATTCAGATGAGCATATGTGATTGAGTCAGCTGCTGTGATCAGAACCAGGATGGAGCATTTCTCACAAACTGTGGGATTTTTAAGTGATGGGAAGGCACACTGAAATGGCATTGAATCATGCGGTGCAGATATTCTTTTTCAATTCTCAATCCTCTGATTACATCAGGGAGAAAAGAAAGTCCCCACTTAGGCTGAGAATCTCTGCACCCTTCTAGCTCTTGTTAACCACTCTTTTGAATAGCAGAGAAAACCTCAGGCTGCCATATCTGGGAGAGATTTTAGCAACATTTTGTTTTCATTATATCTCTTTTTACAGCTACCTCCCATTTCCCTTCCATTTTAAGCTGGTAACACAGTTTTCTTTTAAACTCATTTATTTAAATGTAAAAATAAGTCTATTTGGAGAAAAAAAATTTAAATAGCATCTCTGGAATGCCAATATGGCTAAATTCATGAATGTTGTCCTCAAATGCTGAAATCTGGGAAGCATCTGGCCAAGCTTTGTGGACAGGCCTGCCTAGTTTGAATCCCAAGAGCCACCCATTCCAAGCCACAAAACATTGGAATTCTTGGTTCACTTCCCTAACCTGAACTTGCTGTCTGTGAAATAGGGACACTAATAGCTCACTCACAGGGCTGCTGTGAGGACATGTGTTGAGTGAGGTCTGGCCAGGGAAGACCCCGTGCAGGGAGACTGTTATCATGGTGATGGATTTCTGCTTCATTCATTTCTTTTTCCAGACAGCATCATATAGAATGAGTTGTGGGGTGGCAGTCAGCAGGTTTGGGTTTATCCTCTATTCTGCCACTTATTACTTAAAAAACAACAAAAAACAACCCCAACTTATATAGTATAAGCTATATCCAGAAAAGTGCAGATATCATACAAGTACCATTTGATGAATCTTCTGATATCCCTACATAACCAACACCCAGAACCTCTTCATGCCTCATTCTAGGATAACCACTAACCTGACTTCTAACAGCATCAGTCAGTTTTGTCTGTTTTTGTACATTATATATGTGATGGTTTGAATGTGTCCCCCAAATTTCATGTGCTGGAAACTTAATCCTTCAATTTATATGTTGATGGTATTTGGAGGAAGGGCCTTTGGGAGGTAATTAGGATTAGATAAGCTCATGGGGTGAGGTATGATGGGACTGGTGACTAATAAGAAGAGAAAGAGAAATCTGAGCTGGCATGCTCTTGCCCTCTCACCGTGTGATGACTTCTCTATGTTACGATGCAGCAAGAAGGCCCTCACCAGATGATGGCACCATGCTTTTGGACTTCCCGGCCTCCAGAACTGTGAGCTAAATAAATTTATTTTCTTTATAATCACCCAGTTTGATATTTTGTCATAGCAACAGAAAATGGACAAAGAAAGAAAATTAATGCAAGAAGTAGAGTTTTTGCTGTAACAGATTCCCGAAAATGTAGAAGTGGCTTTGGAACTGGGTGATGGGAATAGGTTGGAAGAGTTTTGAGCAGGCTAGAAAAAGCCTGTATTGTCAAGAATGGAGCTTAGGCCAGGCATGGTGGCTCAAGCTAGTAATCCCAGCACTTTGGGAGGCCGAAGCAGGAGGATCACCTGAGGTCAGGAGTTTGAGACCAGCCTGGCTAACATGGTGAAACCCCGTTTCTACTAAAAATACAAAAAAATTAACTGGGCGTGGTGGTGCACACCTGTAATCCCAGCTATTCAGGAGGCTGAAGCAGGAGAATCACTTGAACCCAGGAGGCAGAGGTTGCAGTGAGCTGAGATCGTACCATTGCACTCCAGCTTGGGCAACAAGAGTGAAACTCCATCTCAAAAAAAAAAAAAAAAAAAAGAAAGAAAGAAAGAATGGAGCATTAAAGACAGTTCTTCAGTTCTGGTGAGGGCTTAAAAGAAGACCCCAGAACTAGGGAAAGTCTGGAACTTCTTACTGGTTACTTAAGTCACTGAGATCAGAATGCTGATAGAAATGTGATTGGTAAAGGCCATTCTGATGAGGTCTCAGATGGAACTGAAGAACCACGTGTTGGAAACTGGAGCAAAGCTCATCCTTTTTATAAAGAAGCAAAGATCTTAGCTGAACTTCATCTGTGCCAGAGTGATTTATGGAAGGCAGAAAATTGTGTAGGTCAGCCATGTTGTAGAGAATGAAAGAACATTTTCAGCTGAGAAAACAAACTGAGGATGTGACCAAGCTACCAATTGATAAGAAAATTAGTACACATAGAACAAAGCCAGAGGCCGTTCATCAGGACAAGGGAGAAAAACTCCAAAGGCATTTCAGAGATCTTCAAGGCTGCCCCTCCTGTTACTGGCCCAGAATTTTAAGAGGGCAGAATGGTTTGGAATGACCAGCTGCTGCCCAGGCTGCCTTGGTCTCTGCTCCCCACATTCCGGTGCAGCATTCCTCAGCCATCCCAGCTGTGGCTCAAGTGGCCCCAGGTGTGATGTGGAAGGTGAAAGTCATAAACCTTGGCAGCATCCCCATGGCACTAATTTTGAAGGTGTGCAGAATGCAAAAGCCGAGGGGGCATTGCCTTCTTCCACCTGTATTTCAAAGGATGCTGTGAACAGCCACCACAGAGAGCCCCCTAGCAGAGCAGTGTCTAGTGGAGCTACAAGGGTGGGGCCACTGCCAATTCCCCAGAACGGGAGAGCTATCATAGTGCATTGCCAGCTTGGGAGAACTGCAGGCATGAGACTCCAACCTGTGAGAACTGCAGCATGGGCAGAGCCCAGCAAAACCGCAGGGGCAGGACTCCCCAAAGCTTCGGGGGTCCAAATTTCTAGTGTGCCCAG